TCGCAGTGGCAGATCACCTTAGGAAGGTTTGGAAAAAAATGAATAATAAAATGTAAACTGAATAAGAAAAAGATTAAAAATAAAAGTAAAAAGTAATAATAAATGAATAAATGAAATTTAATGAACTGAAATACGGTCGGCACCTCCTCTTGTGGTAGGCAAGAAATGTCCACTGCAAGGGGTTTCGCCCCCCTTCTATTAACTTTATACTTTCTTTTCTAACTAGAACATACACTTTATACCTCTTTTTAACCCCCACTTAGCTAGATGTATCTCATCATTCGATTTATTTTCAGCCCAAAGAATATCATGAAGGTTCTTGCAATTTTCCTCCTAATGGCCTTCCTCGTGTCTGGGACTTTGGGCTTCGTTCTGCCGATCCCGCTTCCTGTGCCTCTGCTCAAGGGACTGGACGTCAGCCTCGCGCTGGAAGATCAGCCGATATTTGTTCCTACTGATCATGAATGCGCACTTTCATGCTAGTTTCAGCAACGTCACTGCTAATCGATAAATAAATAAATTTGTCCATCCCTGATTTTTTTTCTTTTTCTTTTTTAATGCTTTGGACGAACAACAAAAGAGTAAAAAACACTTTTGGTGATATTGAAATAACAATGAACATTCGTCTGAGGACAGCATTATGCTAATACACTACGCTAGCGACTGTTGTTGTGTGCTTTTTACTTCCCCTCTACATGTTTTTTTTTTTTGTTTTTTTCATAATTCTACCAAGCACATACTAATGATACGCTAAACTTACACAAACCGTAGTTTTTTTATGCCTTTATTTTATTATTCTTTCTGATTAGAAAGCGATACATGTTTTGGGGATGATTTGATTCTCATATTCAGAATTTTTAACATCATTAGAAGAACAGGTCTAATTATGTCCTATATTTACTTTTAATGAATGGTTAGTGATATGATTATATGTTGAACACTTTCATTATGTTATCAAATTACCTTGAAATTCTGTGTGTGATACATTTTATACTTATCATCGGTTTGTTAAAATTGTGCGAGGCCCGACCCAATGAATAATCATACACAAAGCCATGTAAATAAATGCACATTTCTCCATCTGATAGATATACTTTTATTTGCCTATATGTCCGGCAAATATGCATGTCGTATTATGAACTGAGTCGGGCTTCCCACAATTTTACCACAATGTTATAATCATTATTAGTTTTATCATTATAATTATATTATATTGATTATGATTGTACTTATGATAATGATAATGATTACGATTATCATTGTCATTATCAATATTATTTTTATTATCAGTATTATCATCATTATCATCATCATATTATATCATCATTATCAATACTTTTTATCAGTTTCATTATTATTACAGTCATTATCATTATTACTATTTTCATTTTCATCATTTTATTATCATTGTCATTATCATCATTACTATTGCCATCATATTTATTAGTAGTACCATTACTATAATCATCATTATTATCAAGAAAACTAAGGTAATGATAATTACTATCTTTATCATCGCCATTATTAATATTATCACCACCACCACCATCATCATCATCATCATCTATTCATCATTCTTAGTATCCTGATGCACACAAATCCAAATGTAAATAACAATAATAAACCCAGAAAATACATTTCACTGATTTAGTTCCTCTACAAACTATATTATTTAATCCGTATCAAACTCGACCAAGAGTTATTCCACTACATACGAATAACGAATACTTATTCATTGGAGCATTTGTTTGGTCTCGAAAAAAGAGGCGCAACAAATTATTTTTTGCATTTTTATAATCATGATAACATGAATAATCAGTAAAAATCCTACCACTGTCATGATATATATATATATATATATATATATATATATATATATATATATATATATATATATATATATATTTCTTGTCGTGTTTGGATTGCAATGGGAACAGGTCAGTCGTGCAGTGCATTGTAGAATTAACATATTGCAGATGCCAGTGCATGCCCTTGATTTTGCAATTACTGAGACTGAAGTGAAATCAAGGAACAATTAATATTCTCAAAACCAAAACACAAACAGCGTTCCTTTAATTGTAATTAAACGGGAGAACGAATATTGCAAATTCGGGTCACGTTTACATTGCAATGATGCTATTTGACAGCAGGAAATGCAGCGAGAAACGTGATTTGGAATTATAAACTAAGTGTTCGTTAATACAGATAAATTCTATGTTTCGCTTTCTCCAATGAAAAAAAGCAATAACCACAACAATAGCAGTATAGATTACAAAACTAAAACAATAATAATGAAGGCAAAAACAACATTGATATCAACAACAACAATGCCAACCATAATAATAACAAAGTAGTCCGTCAGGTGAGAAGTTGGTCAGATCGGTATCTATCTATCTATCTATCTATCTATCTATATATATATATATATATATATATATATATATATATATATATATATATATATATATAATGTATATGATATATAATATGTAGTATATATAGGTTCCCTTCCAGTAGGCTGTTCGTAAGTACGTCTGTTCGTATGTCCGTAGTAGGGCGTACGGTATGTTATGATTACTGTACAACTAGCTCTACTTTCGGACGTACCGGTATAAACAATGCAGTGGTTTTCGGTGGTTTTTAATGTGCTTTGAACAACCTTCATCCAAATGCTCAGAAGTTTTTCAAGTTCTGCAATCACTTTTCCACGTTTCTTACTAATAACAGTAGAATGCATAGGGACTGAACTTTTCACATGTTCCATAATCTTATCCTTGTTCTTGAGTATTGTACCGATATTGTACCGTAGAACGATTCATCTAGTACGAACGAAGTTTTGAGATATCAGGCTTTGAAGTTGAGGATATTTTTCCTCCATTTTTTTTCTTTGGAAATCTGATATCTGAGTCAACCTTGATGCATTCTATGGCATTCACATGTATTCTGAAGTGTATCCCCCCTTTTCCAAAGGACTAATGGCAATGAGTGCTTGCTTGCAGTGCTTCTCGAGGCATTTCATATGAATAAACAACTGCTGCAGCTGTGATTGAGATGTATTTCTCATCATATTATGCTTATTAGTTACAGGAATAACATTGATCATTAGTAGTGGCCTATTATGTGATGAGGGCGCATCAGGGATGGTATCGCCCGAGGCATGGGACGGACTTCATCTCGCTCCGCTCTCTCGTGGTGACTGCCAACCTTGTCTCTTTGTAGTGACTGCCAGCTGTGCTGCAAACAGAGTTGCCAGCTAGTTACCAGAGAATACCAAAATAAATCGAAAAATAAAAAAAAAAAAAAAAAAATGTTGGGTATATTTGCTCAGACGCGACAAAGTAAATATCGGAGCCGGAGGCGGATGGGGGGGGGGGGGGTCAGAGATTTAGCCATAACTCTTTTATTTTATCGTATTTAGCAAAAATACAATTACAAAAATAATCACAAAATCACAAAGTTTTCTGGAGAGCATACAACACACGTTTGAATGAGACCGTGTGGGTACAGTGAGAGAGCTATAGTTTACGACGCGCGCTACTCTCACTCCCTCCTGACAGCTTTGTTCGTATGTACCGAAATTCGTAACTCGGAAGTTCGCAAGTAGGGGACCACCTGTATATAATATATGATGTATATAATATATGGAATCTATAATGTATATAATAATTATAATATATGTAATCAATATATATACATATACATATGTATATGTATAATATATGATATATAAATATATATATAATATATAAAATATATAATATATAATATATATAATATAATATATATAATATATATATATATAAATATATAATATATAATATATATATAATATATAAATATATATAATATATATTATAATTATATAATATATGATAACATATATATATAAATATATATATAATTCGTATAAACAATATATATAAAGGATGATATATATAATACAAAATATAAAGTATATAAATGATGTATATGATGTATGATATATATAATGTATGTGTTATATGATATACATAATGTATATGATATAGATATATATAATGTATATGGTATATTTGTAAAACATAATATGAATTATGATAATATATGCAATACATTATATTTATGTGTGTATATATATGATATATCATATTTATGACATACATAAAATATGTATATACACACACACATCTTCATTTACAGTATACTCCAGACGACGATTTAAAATGTGTTTTGGTTAGTTTTAATAGGGATAAAAATCAGAAAATAATCCTGGTTTTTTGTTTTCCTGAATGATATTTGACAATGATATCCCATAGTCACCCTCTGACAAACACGTTATTGGAATTTGTAGTAAATTCAGTTTTCAGTCAAATTTCTAGAAATGGCAAACAAACAAATTATTGCATATTCAGATGGAATCATATGACGTTCCCAAAGCTTTCCCAAACCATCTAGTTCCCCAGGTCGTCCGTCAAATCCCAGACCCCCAAGATCATGTCCTAGGTATAAAATACTCCAAAAACCTGCCTTATCATTAAACCTTCAGGATAGTACAGTGGTAACGCGCCCGACCAGTAGTGAAAAGTTGCAATTGTCGCCCTGAGGTAATTGCTACCTCTGTTGCACTAGCTGACACACGTTGATCAAGTCAACATTAGTTGGCACAGGCCGGGCGAAGCTCAGCTTCGCATATCGGACCTATCCTTATCTTTGTCTCATAACTTGATTTCTTTACAGTAAAAAGATCACAATGAAGTTCCTTGCAGTTTTCCTCCTGATGGCCTTCCTCGTGTTTGGGACTTGGGCTTCGTTCGGCCGATCCCGCTTCCTGTGCCTCTGCTCAAGGCAACCTCGCACTGGAAGATCAGCCCATATTTGTTTCTGCTGATCATTAACGCACACGCGCATTCATAAAAGTTTCAGCAATGTCACTACTAGGATCGATAAATAGGTTTGTTTAACCCTCTTTCTTGGAAAGAGGAAAAATGGCACGCTTTAAACAGTCTGGAGCGTCAGTAGGATTAATCTGGTTTACAACGATATATCTTTTTTGAGGAAGGATTATGATTCAATAGGTTGATATACTTCATCTGATTCTCAGGTCACGCTTTTTTTTTTTTTTTTTTTTTTTTTTTTTTTTTTAATGCTCTCACATAACTATGATTCCAAGTGGTTTAATAACTATTACCTTTAGGGTTTATTTTCTCTCAGTTACTTTTATTTAAGCAACTTAATATCAATGGATTTACTCTGGCATAGCTTACTTTACTTTATACAGAAGGGGTGTGAACAGTGTTTGGTCTCCTCTGGGTCTTCAGTACGTGGTCCTTTACGGTATAGTCAGGGGCATAAAAATGATGGTAATGATGATTTTGTGTTAGTTTTAAAGAGGGGAGGCAAACTAACAAAATTTGACACTAACAATAACAATAGTGGCAATAATGAGGATAACAATAATGTTTATAATAATAGCAGTAGTAATGATAATAATAACCATAATGATGAAAATGGTAACACTAGTTGTAATAATAATAATGATAATGTTGAAATGCAATAATAGAGATAAGAAAATAACAATCGAATGCAATTAATATTTAATATAATGATAATTATCATAATAATAATCTTAATGATAATAATGATAATACCTATGATAATAATAACAATAACAATGATAATACCTATGTCAACAATAACAATGATAATACCCATGATAATAATAGTAACAATGATAATACCTATGATAATAATAACAATAACAATGATAATATCTTTATAATAATAACAAGAATAACAAGAACATAATAATGATAATAATAATAACGTTAAAATCAACAAGAACAATGCCAACCATAATGATAACAAGGTCCAGCAGAGGACCCTCAAGACCCCTATAAACACCCATGAACAGGATGTTGTTCGCCTCGTTATCTTTAATGTAGAAAACGAAGGGCCGGTTGCACGTGAACGTCGTCTTTGGAGGCATTGGTCTAGACCTACTAGTCATACTGAGCACCGTCGCCGCTGCCGCCTCTGCGCCTTCTTCGTCCACCTCTATAAGGGCCTTGTGGATCGCTCCATTCACCATTAATCCTCGAACTTGTGTGAAGTCAGTCAGATCGGCGGTGGAGAAGAAAAGGTCACGGATTCCCATTTTCTTTAAAGTCTGGAGAAGGAAGGCGTGGATACGAGGCTATTTTTTTAAAGGTATTTTGCGTCATGATTTCGCTACAAGAAGCAAAACAGTTTTTAATAGGTTATCAGTATTTCATTTCATTAAATAATCGTTTATTGCTCTCTCAGTTTAGATATAAATAAGTAGCAAGACTAAATTTAATCTTTCAGGGATATCTATTACCAATATGTAACGATTTTGCAACCAGATGCGCAGAATCTTTACTGAAGTAATGGTATGATATGTAAGCTCGGAGTGTTTAAAACTCAAAACCCTTCGCGAGCCAATTTTCCCTTCAGCCACCATCTTGAGGTCCAACAGAGGTTTACATCTGGCTTCCCAGGATTACGTTTCTTAAACTGGTATTATGTGATTGAACGTTAAGTTTATTTTACCTATCACATTTTGAATGATCCTAATGGTAACACATTATATATGACTATTTTTTTTCATGATCCAAACTTCACAGGCGTTGGGATCAGCCCAGTGGACACACTTAGCCCGCATACCATATATATATATATATATATATATATATATATATATATATATATATATATATATATATATATATATATATATATATATATATATATATATATATATATATATATATATATATATATATATATATATATATATATATATGTGTGTGTGTGTGTGTACATATATACATATATGGATGTATATGTATATACATATAAATAAATAAATAAGTAAATATATATATACACTTATATATGAATATATACACATTATATATACATATATATGCGTATGTATATATACATTCTAATATATATGTATATATATCAGAATGACATGCGCTTTTTCATTCATTGCAGACAGAATAAAAAAAAGGAATGTAAGTGATGAATGTAAAAGGTAAGTATTGGCTTAATCATTCAAAACGGCCTGTAAGACTGAAACAGCAAATATCCCTCGGGCTGCTCTAGGCTGTACTGAGGAAAGTTTCCTGTTGGTATATATATATATATATATATATATATATATATATATATATATATATATATATATATATATATATATATATATATATATATATATATATATATATATATATATATATGTATATATATATATATATATATATATATATATATATATATATATATATATATATATATATATATATATATATATATATAACGTTTGTGATAGCAGATTATACCTCAATTTGTGAGTAAACTACGACCCTTTGCTTACCATTCCCAAACTACCAGGTTCGCTTACCTTGCCCTAATTCAAACATACCGAAATGAGTTCATCCCGAGAGTACTCTCCACGCTGATCTTGGGAAACTTGACTATCAGCGGGACGGAGGGCATCGCCTTCAACACAGACACGAGTCTCCTGGGCCTCAGGCGTCGGACCAGCCTGTCCCCTTGGCTCTCTCCCATCGGGAGGAGCACCACCATGGACACGGCGTCGCCCCTGTAGGGCATCTCCAGCACCTGGGCGTGAAGCTTCTCCGAGTCCACTGGAACGGAGTTGGACATATTTGAAGTCCGTTGATAACAGGTGATTCATTTTACGATTTCCTTGCATTGTAAGGCAACTTGTTCTGTGTTGGAATTAGGTACATGTTCCCATAAAGAGAAAGACACCTAATGAACACATAATTGATTTTGATTTGCGACAAATCGATACAAACGCAATGAAAATGGGGAAAAAATATGTAATAACGGAAACTGGACACAAGGAAAGGTAGGGAGGTTCATTTTGTATAAAGGAAGAACTCCATACATTACCATATTTGAACCTTCCCGTTTGCGTCATCATATCCACTTGGACAGACTCTTCCGGGGTTACGAAAAACTTGTCCTTGTGGGTCCTTTGAGGCTTGAACGGGTATTTCCAAAAGCCTTTGAAGTAGACGGCGTTAGTTAAGACCATTTTAGCGTCTTTAACAAAGGAGGGTTCTATAAGCTTTGGTATTTTTCCTCGCGTTTCGGCGTTGATGAAGGCATTGATGTCAGCAGCGGCGGCGTCGGGCTGATGGCAGATTCAGGTTTGATTATTTCGGTCTCTGGAGTTTAAAGATCCTTTAAAGAAATGTATCTGTTTTAAAAACTTGAAAGGATATTTTTCTTGTACAAGAGTCTCTTCTGTACGCGTCATAAAGTTATGCTGCGTTCGGAACTGCTCGTCTTGCTCGTCCAGACACCTTGTCCAGGACCAGCAGGACAAGTGGGCCGCGTTCGGAACCTCCAAGACCCTTTCTGCCCAGAATGCAACCGGCTCCAATGTAAACATTTTTTATTTATTTTTTTATTTTTTATTATTTATTATTTATTATTATTATTTTTTATCATACTGGTGTCTTTATTTTACACGCTGCATAGGTTTTGTAACTCCTTTGATGCATATTTAACTTACCTGCAACTGACAAACACAAAAATATCCTTTGATAACACCAATAAAGGGTTATAAAATTACCCACCAATATCTTGCGGTTACCTACAACTGTCAATGTTTACATACAAAATTACTGTGACGTCATCTCGTCCTGTTCGCCCAGGTTCGCAGGAGGGCGAGTTGGACGAGCCAGAATACTTGTCCGGGACGAGATTGTGGAAGTTCCGAACGGTCAAAACATCTTGTCCAACTGGGCTGGACGAGATAGACGAGCAGTTCCGAACGCAGCATTAAATCCAGATTAAAGTTTCATCCAAATCCACAGTACTTTCATAGATGTAATACACAATACCAGACGCACGCGTCCATGCGATCATCAGTAAATCTGTTCTTTTACAATTAAGAGCGGGCATTTGTGTAGTCGAAATTAGCAAACTCTTTGAGTTTCATATCGCACGCTAATGCTGTTACCGAGACGTTTGCTAAAAAAAAAAAAAAAAATGAATACACACACACACACACACACACACACACACACACACACACACACACACACACACACACACACATATATATATATATATATATATATATATATATATATATATATTATATATACATACGGGAGTCTTATAGAATAAGGATGTGCATTTGTGTTACAACTAATTCCAAATAAAGGACTTCAAATGCTCTTTTTATAGGCAACAGAACTGTAGCTGTTAAACAAAAGTTACATCAGTTTATTTCTGCGGAGAGTTTTCTCCGAGAGTTTTTTCGTGTTTTGTTGCTGTCGAGGAATATGATAACAAAATTCCCACGTAGTTTTGAAGGCATTGTAATATAAAGATTCAGAAAGTTTGTACTTTAAATCTGAAACCTAATCGTGATGTTATTGAAACTCTGGAATTATTTGTGGGATTTCCTTTCGTTTTTTTCGAGAGTTATTTCTGCAGTTTAAGTATCCCACGACTTATGAAAATATATGTTGATAAAAGTTTATACACATCTTTAGCATGAAAATGCCAGAATTAGTTTCATTATTCGCAATAATAAACATTTATGGCAACTCGACTTCATCCTTTTTACCTGAATGGTGCGACTAACTAGCTCATTTTGAGCATGGCAGGATTAAAGTACGAGCTCAAAAGTGAATGCTGATCCAGAGATGAAATAAAAGTTGATAATGGACGCTGCCATTGCGCATGCGCACTAGAGATCTGGATTAAACTTTAATTCTGGATTAACTTTTATGGCACGTACAGAAGACGCCCTAAAGCACTGAAGAAGTTGGTTCATTCTACATACATTAAATGATCACCACAGAAGGCTTTTCTCTGTTACTCAAGATCAAAGTAAGTCTGCTGAACAGATCTGCCCTCTTGTACGGAAGGCTTTCACACTGCGCCCGAGGTTTAAGCTATAAGGTTTGAAATGCTTCACTTTGTTTAAGGCTTAAAGGTTTTATCACTGTGCCTCGGCTCATATTTCTGTCTTCTCGTACTAGACCAAGATTGCCAGAGAAACTCCCTTAACCACTTGATGGAAACGTATCACAAATTGAAATACAATGTCAGGTTACAGAGATTGTATGTATATACGAAGTGATAATGCAGTGATTTAATGCAAATGTATGTGTAGATTACCCTCTTTTTGCAGAGACAATCAAAACATTAGACCATAACTTATAAGCTGTGCTTTTATATAAAGAATGATGTTCGTATCCTCACTGAGCCATGAATCTGTAACTACATGAGTTCTGATATCCCTATTTTGGATATGCTGATGTTACAAGTGATGAAGACTCCCCACATCTAGTAGGCAGGAAAATAAAGCTGTAAGCCAAGTGTTTCTTACCCTATTAAAGTCTATTAACTTCACTTTGTCGTCGAGGACTTTTCCCACGCATTCTCGGACGGGAATGGACTGGTCGAAGTATATCCTGTTAGCCGAGTTGATGGTGTAGTTCTGGTTTGCTTCTTGGGAGTCATAGCTGCAGTCGTGTTATTTTAGTAGAAATTATTATCTGATAATGTTATTACTTGCATTATAAAATCATGATCCTTTTTGTTATCATCAAGGTATTCGTGTCCATTTCTCTCTCTCTCTCTCTCTCTCTCTCTCTCTCTCTCTCTATATATATATATATATATATATATATATATATATATATATATATATATATATATATATATATATATATATATATATATATATATATATATACTGTATATACTTTTATATACATATACACGAAAATGAATAAACCAAATATGAATTTAAAAATCTTTTTGTTGTTCTTTATAATTTTTGTATACACGTTACTGTGTTAATGTTTTACACAACACACACAGAATCACACACACACACACACACACACACATACATATATATATATATATATATATATATATATATATATATATATATATATATATATAATCTACCTACCACCTCTCTTAACGGTTCACTCGGTAGGTTTAATCGCGTCAACCCACTCACCGCCGTTCGAGGGCCCTGAACAGGGCGAGCGTGTCCTCCTGTTGGTGAGCCGCAGAACCTGCTCCAGCTCCGCCTTCGTGTTGCCTCGGGAGCCGAAGTAGGCGAGGACGGGCGCTCCAGACGCTGAAGGGCGAGATGAAGAAGTTCCCCGACGGAGGGAGAGCTTCTGAGTAAGTCGAGGCTGAAGGGGTCGTCTTCTTGAGAATCGGGAGCCGCGGGGGCGGCGAGGTGTCGGAGGAGGAGAGGCACTGACAGCTGGCCCGTGACAGGAGGGCGAGGGCGGGGAGCAGCACGCACACTCTCATGGTTCTGAAAGGTCATGCACACACTGGTATTTGAATATAA